ATCGCCATATTGTTAAAGTAGGTCTCTCGCTTTTAGCCCATGCTTCTATGCCCTTAAAATTTTGGGATGAAGCTTTCATCACTGCCACCTATCTTATTAATCGCCTCCCTAGTAAAATTATCAATAACCAAACTCCTCTTGAACGCCTGTTTCATCAAACACCAGACTACTCCTCTCTTCATACTTTTGGCTGCGCATGCTGGCCGAATCTACGGCCTTATAACGCTCGCAAGTTGCAATTCCGCTCCAAACACTGTGTCTTCCTAGGATACAGTAACATACACAAGGGGTTCAAGTGTTTGGATGTCAACGAAGGGTGTGTCTATATTTTCCGAGACGTGGTCTTCGATGAACACGTCTTCCCCTTCGCTGAACTCCACCCAAACGCCGGTGCTCGATTACGATCTGAAATTCTCCTCCTTCCTCCAACTTTGACAAATCCTTCACATGATTTTGGGGACGACAATTCTTCAGATCATTTTGATAATGATTCCCTGCATACTAACCCTATGTCTAAGCGTGCAGCACATGAAAAAAATTCGGCGTCAAACGAACTAAATCTGGCTGGAAACGGGCGTCATTTCATGCTCCCCGAGCAATTTCCCGTTTTGGCAGGAACAGGCGGCGATCCCCAGGCTGATTCACCTGCACCTTCCACTACGGAGCCGACAGGATCGGTCTTGGATCTGGCGGCGTCAGCTCCTACGCTCGTGACGAATGCGTCAGCTCCACCGGCATCCTCTCTGCGTGCGCCACCTGTCTCGAACTCGCCTTGCCTGGCTCCGTGGACGGGGGGACAGGATATTTCAACCGGTGGTGGAGAATCTCCCTTGGGTCCACCGCTCGCTGGATCTTCTGCGCCAGCCACAGATCAACCCACCGGATCTTCTACATTGCTCGCAAAGACCGGCTCTCCAAATGACCCACCACGTCTACAACAAGGTATACGCAAACCAAAAATTTACAATCGATGGAACTATTCGACACGGTCGGTTAGCGTACCACCACTTGAAGGTCCTATTGATTTGCAACATGCCTTAGTCGATAATAATTGAAGCGTGCTATGGATGTTGAATTTGATGCATTGATCGGGAATAAAACTTGGCATCTAGTTCCACCTCAAAAGGTAAAAATGTGATAGATTGCAAGTGGGTCTATAAAATCAAAAGAAGATCGGATGGGAAAATTGATGATATAAGGCACGCCTAGTAGCAAAGGGGTTCAAACAACGATATGGCATTGATTATGAGGATACTTTTAGTCCTGTTGTGAAAGCAGCCACAATTCATCTTGTGCTCTCTCTAGCTATGTCTAAGGATTGGTGTTTGAGGCAACTTGATGTTCAGAACGCTTTCTTGCATGGTTTCCTTGAAGAAGAGGTATACATGAAACAGCCGCCAAGTTATGAAGATAAGACCAAACCACATCACTTATGCAAACTTGGCAGATCCCTGTATGGTTTAAAACAAGCACCACAGGCCTGGTATTCTAGGTTGTGTGGTAAAGTTCAGAGTTTAAGCTTTGTTCCCTCCAAAGCTGACACATCATTATTCTCTTATCGGAAAGGAAATCATGTCATCTTTATGCTTATATATATTGATGATATAATTGTGGCCAGTTCATCACAGGAAGCAGTGGATGCTCTTCTCTGAGATTTAGAGAAGGACTTTGCAATCAAAGATCTCAGAAACCTTCACTATTTTCTTGGCATACAGGTTCAATGAAAGAAAGGTGAATTGCTTTTGATATAGGAACGATATACTTCTGATATCCTCAAGAGAGTTAATATGCAGCTGTGTAAACCCATCAAAACACCCCTTAATACTACCGAAAAGCTTTCAGTCACTAGTGGCACTCGGTTAGGAGTGGAGGACTCAACCAGATACAGGAGCATTATTGGAGCTCTCCAGTATCTCACCCTCACACGACCAGATCTGTCTTTTTCGGTCAACAAAGTTTGTCAATTCCTTCACTCGCCGACGACCGTTCATTGGGAAGTTGTGAAGAGAATATTGAGATATGTACAAGGAACAATCGACCTAGGGTTAAAAATTAGAAAATCTAACTCTATGCTTGTAAGTGTTTTTTCAGATGTTGATTGGGCCGGTTGCCCTGACGACAGACGATCTACAGGCGGCTTTGCTGTATTCCTAGGTTGCAACCTAGTGTCATGGTGCGCAAGAAAACAGCCTATGGTTTCAAGATCAAGTATAGAAGCTGAATACAAGTCTTTGGCCAACGCTACTGCATAGATAATGTGGGTACAAAAATTACTTGATGAGTTAGGTATTCCACATCCTTTGACAGCATGTTTATGGTGTGATAATCTTGGCGCAAAGTACCTATCGGCTAACCCTGTATTTCATGTACGCACCAAGCATATAGAGATCGATTTTCATTTTGTACACGAACAAGTTGCAGCAAAGCGCCTGGACATCAGATTCATCAGCACTACGGATCAGATCGCCGATGGCTTCACTAAGCCTCTTCCAGAGAAGCAAATGGTCATGTTCAGAGACAATCTCAACCTCGCTGATAAGTTGTGATTGAGGGGGGATGTTAAGAATATCTAATAGGATCACATGACCGCAATATCTGGTTGATTGATATCTCCTATAGATTGATTGTGCGCTCAGGCTTGGATTGCGGGTGAAGGCAAGTATCACGACTTCGGTTAGATATGATAGGTATCTCCTGATTGATGTAATCTAGAGTTACCAAAGTAGTTAGCTTCTTCTTGTTGTACAAGTTGTACCGCCACGCCAGGGGCTCTTCCTGGCTATATTAACACGAAGCCATGAGCCTAAGAGGGCATCACGTTCCAACCATTTTCACAGAGAGTAGCAGCGGTGGTGCCACGGTGGCGCGCTCGTACTCTGGCGGGTTCTCCATCATCGAGCCGTGGGAAGAGTCCAGGGACATGGGAGGGAGGCCGATGGCAGAGGAGGTGGTGCTAGGGGGTGGCTGAGGAAGACACGCGAGCTAGAGAGAGAGCGGTGGAGGCGGCGGAGGGAGCGCGAGCAGCGAGCCATTGAAGCCAGAGACATCGCGAGATCGAACTTGGCCTCGGGCTTGGCAATGAGATCGGGCGGCAGAGCACAGGCGCCCCAACGATCCGAAGGTCCAGAATCCGCTTGATTTGAAGCTCCAAAACATGCGGTTGTCCATTAGTACAAAAACAGACAAACCTATAAATTTTGATAACGGGTGATCTGTAGAGTAGAATAGAGGAAAACAAAAGAATATAGGCCATGTTCGCTTCGCTGAAAAGCTATGGCTGAAAGTACTGTTAGCTGATTTGTTGTGAGAAAAAAGTATTGTTCTTTCGCTGAAACAGTACGGCTCATGGGACAAGCGAACATGGACATAATCAACACAAACTCACTCTTTACTAGGTGCACGACATTTTGTTCTTTGGGTTAATTGGATCTGTGCCATTATAATTCTATCGTTTTTGTAGCACACCATTACTATTCAAGAAACTATGTCAGTGCCATTACAATTGTTTCCTACTTTGAAATACGCCATTATGTACACCTAAAGATGTATTGGGCCCTCTTTCAGACATCTTAAGGCTAACATATTTTTGTATGGACGCTTTTGCCCCTGCTAGTCTCCCTCTATCCACTCTATGACGCATCGGGCCCACTTGTCATCCCTCTCCCATCCAAGATGCAACGCAGCTCTATCTCTCTGCTTCTCCAATGCCGCCATCGCCATTACAGGTGCCCCACACGCCAGCATTCTCTGTTCCTCCTTCCTTGGCCGTGGCAACTCCAGCTCGCAGCCCCACCCTGGACCCGCATCACGCTCGCCCCGCACAGGCCAAGCTAGCGCAGCTCCGCTGCGGGCACAGTATGCCGCTCCGCTGGCTGCAAGCCGCCTACCCCGGTCCGGCTAGCCGGAGCTCCGCTCCCCAGCCAAGCACCGTGCCTAGCTCCCCCTTGCGCCGCCCGCCCCCGGTCTGGCTAGCCAGAGCTCCGCCCTTTGGCTCGACACAGACGACCGCCCGCGTGCTCGGCCGGTGGCGGCCTTGGTAGCTCATCGCGGACGCCGCCAGACTGCTTTCGGTCGGGAGCGGCGGCTGCTCGCTTGACGTGACGTCGCCTGCCAGACGCTTCGGTCGTGGCAAGGTGAGTGGTTTATCAGCAGACGCTGGGCGGCGAGCTCGTCCGACGGCTGCAGACGGCTTGGCGACGATCGTCGCCGCCGAAAGTGCTTTCGGCCGGTGGCGGCGTGGTCGGGTTTGTCGCGGACGCCGCGTGGCCGCTAGTCCGATGGCAACCAAACCAGTCGCCCCACCTACGTGCTTTGTCTAGGAGTGGCTAGCTCGGCGCGGCTGCCCTCCCATGCTCGAACTCGCTCGCTCGGCGCCGGAGATGGAGAAGATAGAGAGAGGAAGGGAGGCTGTGGGGAAGAAGGCTGGCGAGTGGGTCCCATGTGTCAGTGAGTGTGAGAGAGAAGATGAAGGGGCAATCTTGTCCATACGAATATATATGAATATATGGTACCCTCCGTACGTCTGTCAGTGGGCTCAAATCGCCTCTAAACGTATATAATGGCGTATCTCAATCATTTATAGAGTTATAATGGCAGTGACATAGTTTCTTAAATAGTAATGGTGTGCTTAAAAACGGTGGAATTATAATGGCGCAATCAATTAACCCTTGTTCTTTTGCATACTCCTTCCTCCCCAAGTCCCAAACCGCAATCCCCAGTCGGCCAAACCCATCGGCCATCAGAAGCTGCGGCTGGCCGGCTGGCCACCGGCGCACGAGTTGACCACACGCTTGAGCTGCGGAGGCGGTCGATTGGGCACAAGGGAACGGCTGCTGCGGCGCTGGAGGTTGTTCCTGTTCCGGACAGCGCAGCAGGTAAGCATGGAATCTAGTCCCAATCCCCCGAGATCCCTGACGGCAGTCGATTCCTTGGTGTCCCAACCGTAACCAAGCGCCAGCGCCCGCATAAATCGCAGATCTCACCGCGGCTCACTCGTCGGGATGGAGGGAGGGAGCTGCCGGGCGGCAGCAGCGTCGGCTGTCCTCCCGGTTCCGGACGAGCTCATCGTCGAGATCCTCGCGCGGTTGCCAGCCAAGTCGCTCTGCCTCTGCAAGTGCGTCTCGCGGGCCTGGCGCGCCTTCATCTCCGATCCGGCCAACCGTCGCAGGTTCGCGCAGACGCTGTCAGGCCTCTTCTTCTCCCGTCCCTACGGCAGCCGTCCGACCTGGGACTTCGTCGGCTTGTCTATGTCTTCGGTTTTGCCTCCGCCTCCCGGCGTTGATGCGGTTCTCTCCTTCCTGCCCCCCACCTGTGGGGAGATGGAGCTGCTGGACTCTTGCAATGGGCTGCTCCTCTTGCGGTGCGAGGACTCAAGGGAACGGCCTTCACCACCACCCTTCTACGTCGTGTGCAATCCAGCCACAGGGGAGTGGGTTGCCTTACCCCAACCAAGCCGTGTCCCGGGTTTTGTTGGGTATTCTACCACTGTCGGTCGAACCATGGACACCGGCTCAGCAGCACTAGGCTTCGATCCATCAATCTCCCCGCATTTCTATGTGTTTCAGCTGGTGCAGGTGTTGACTCACTTAGATTTCTTCGTCCGGGCAGTGGAGATATACTCATCCCAAACTGGCAGATGGGTTCTCAGTGAAATCGAGTTACAGGGTGAGATGGCAGATGAGAGCGACTACATCCACTTCACAGGCCAAATGACCTATTTCAAAGGCTTCCTGCATCTCTGCATGAGGTCCAATGCAGTTGTCTCAGTGCACACAGAGGGCAAGACATGGAAGATCTCCCAATTGCGGCACCGGCAACATGAGGGTTATTGCCCTGGTTTTTCTGTATGTCATTCTCAGGGACGCTTACTTTTTGTTGACAGCAATGACAGGTCGAGTGATGTCATGTCAATCTATGTTCTTGAGGATCTTGACAGTGAGGAATGGACGTGGGTCTTCAAGCAAAGCATCGAGAAGCCAGATCTATTTGGACCAAGAATGCCACAAAGGATATGGGACTACTACACAGCTGCGTTTCATCCAGACAGCGATTTGATTTTCTTCTATGATTGGTCTCAGAAAAGACTGGTGTCCTATGATATGAAACACAGGGATGTGCATGTTATATATACTCTAGAAGTGCCCTATTTTGAGTTTTGCAAATTTTTACCGTATGTTCCGTTGTACTCAGGGGCATTACCATCATCCTGTCTCAACTAGAAATGCTTCACAACCTTCAATACAAGGCTCAAATTTGGCAGTGATTTCTTCAGAAGGAGCTGGTAAACTAAATTATTGTGATTGGCTTTGTTTGGTGATTCATGAGGCTTTCGATGCTGTTGAGATGGAAATGTGTTTTTGCCATCTGCCATCCGTAGTTTTTGTGAACTTCTAAAATGCTTTGGTCAATTAGCTTGCTACATCAGGCAATATCAGTGATGGATGCATTATCTGCACGTATATGTGCTTCTGAAGCTTCTTGAGAAGAGGGCTGAAATTTCAAGCATCGTTTTGAGCAGCATGGCGGAAGGGGCCTTCGTGGCTTTGAACCATGCTGGCAGTATATCCTATCTTATATATTTACTATATGTTGGAAGGGTACAAGTTTTAGAAGTTACTTTTTTGGGGGGGAACAGTCTTAGAAGTTATTAGTAATTCTGGATGTAATGGATTAGAAAGCAGGCTACCTGTTAAGGGTCTTATGTTTTCTTGTTTATCTCCCTTTGTTATTCAGTGCTGAATAATTCCTGTTTTAGTAACTATTCTGAGTACTCTTGGGACAACTAGCTGGACTAATGTCAACTAGGATTGCTGGACAACCTTCAGTACAAGGCACATATTTGTTATTGGTTTCTTTAGAAGGAGCTGGTGAACTAAATTGAATCTCCATCCGTCTTTGTGCGTAATCAGTAGATAAATGCTACCTAATTTTGTCTTAAGACCATGTTGCTTAGATATGAAGACCATATAGGATTGGCAAATAATTCTGTCGTTAGAGTTCAGGCCATGTTGCTTTGGTATGAAACCGTGTAAGCTGACATCCCAAACAGTTGCTAGCTTGATTGATTATCTTAGTCTCGTGTTGGAGGAACCATTGGTTGTTGCTAGCTAGCTTGATTGATTGGCTTGATATTTGTGCCATTATTAGTTGGAAATGTAAATGCCAATCTGCTATCCACGATTGTTCTGACTTACGAGCACGAACAATGTTTTGGTCCATTATCTGCTGCATCAGCCATCAGGCAATATCAATTATGATCCTCAGGCAGGCATGTGTTTCTAAAACTTTGTGGCAATATCAACAACAGTTTCGAGATCAGCGTTGCAGTGGTGGAGGCCCTCGTGCCTTTGAATCATGCCGGCAATATATTTTTGGCTGATAATAATTATACTGTCCTGGAAGGATAGATTTTTATTGTTACTGGTAATCTTGGATAATAAATTTAGAAAGCAGGTTACCTGTGAGTGAACAAGTCTTGAGTTTTGTCATTCATGTCCGCCTTTCTATGTTGATTTTTATGCAGTAGTGCTGAATAATTCCTAAGTAACTACTATGATGAATGCATTTGGAACATCTAGTGGGACTGACCTTGTAACTATATATTTGTGGCAATGCAAATATGTTTTTTTTATTTCATTTTGATGTGCAAAGATTTATTGCTGTGAACCGCGGTGCTTGGCTAAATTTCTTGGCTATTTGAAATGACATCAATGGATTTAGATGTGTATGGTTGTGTTATACAGTGAAATATCTTGTGTTGCAATGAGTGAGGCAGTGATCCATGCGAACATATAATTCCATTCCTTGTGATGATCAGCATATCCGTGCCTGCATTTTCACTTGAAAGAGTGGTTACAGGTTACTACTATCAGGGGATTTTGCCTGCCAGTGCTTGACCAGCTGTTGGCTTTATTCGCTCTGGATTAACAATTGACTGGCATGATATGATTTTGTATCTATAAAGAATCAACGCTGGAAACATGCCAAGTATGAGGAATGGACCTGTTTCCAGCCCAGGGCTGCCTGGCGGGCCAATCCTTTAATAAAGGGTGATGGATTCAGGATCCCCAATTCTGAATGAGTGACTACCGATCGTTACATAAAGGGAGATTTTGCTGTGGCACACTCCAGTTATGTGAAATTTGCTGTGGGACATTGGAATATTTTTTCTTTGCTGTGGGACACTAATTTCTTTGCTGTGGCACACCGCCCAGTGTGTCTAGAGCAAAGAAAAAAAATACAGTGTCCCCGCTCGTTAGATAGAGAAATAGCGACAAAAGGAAATTGCGCTGATTGAGTTGACAGATTGTCTTTGAAAAATATTTGTTGGAATTTAAGTCTCACTATTTCAATTTTAATTGCCGAGAGGAGTATATTTCTACATTTTTTTATCAGAACAATTATTTAGAAACCCTATCTAAATGCCTTAATTTTCTCTTTGCGCTCGTTAGATAGAGAAATAGCGACAAAAGGAAATTGCGCTGATTGAGTTGACAGATTGTCTTTGAAAAATATTTGTTGGAATTTAAGTCTCACTATTTCAATTTTAATTGCCGAGAGGAGTATATTTCTACATTTTTTTATCAGAACAATTATTTAGAAATATTATGATCTTGCCAAGTAGTGGACTGTATCATGCCATTCGTCCAATCGGCTGCGTCCATCGTATGGCTTTGATCTTGGGCCAGCACAGGAGGCCCAGCAACCAAATGCAACGATGGCCCCACGCGGCAGTTGAAATCTGTGTCCCATCTCATCGCCGCTCTCCGCTACACGAGTGCCGTTGTAGTTATCACTACAGAAGTGCTAAATACCACACGAGTGTTTTAGCAACCATAGACACACGAATTTGAGTGTGCGTCTGACGTGTAGGGCCACACCCAACTCCGATTCTAAAAGGGAAGCGAACGGATCCGCCTCTCGTCCTCTCGCCCTCCCCGACGCGGCGCCTGCCTGGCAAGCTCTTGCCGACGGTCGAGCCCAACTCTCTCTCTCCCCTCGACGCCCGACAAGTTCCTCCTCGGCGACCTCCACCGCGAGTCCCACCCGCGCCCGCGCCCCCACCCGCGCGCGAGCTCGCTGGCCATGGCGGATCCACCCACGGCCATAGTGGATCCGTCGAGGTAGGTCTTCTTCTCATCCTCCTCGTCTTTCTCCTCTTCCTCTTCCTGGATCTGTGCTGACCAGAGACGGATCTGTCCTGGTCGGAGACAAAGACGATGGCGGTGGCGGCTAGGGTTTCGGCGAGCCTCTCTCTAAATTTTGTCCTTATTCTTTCATAGAAAAAAAAATTATTTCTTGTGATTTATGATTTGTGCCGACATAGTCGCGGATTTTGCTACTTGTGATTTGTGCCGACATAGCCGTGCCCAGGGGTGAGGCGGTGGATGGCGGCACGGGCGAGTTCTGCAGTGCGTCTTGAGGTAGAAGAAGGCTAGAGACTAGAGGTAGAAGAAGGCTGAAGGCTGTTGGATCTTTATCCTATGCTTAAAAAAAATATACGTTGAAACTACATAAAACACACGGTTGTGTAGCAGAGACATACTCCACTACAGATTCAATCTTGCCTGGTCGGATTTGTCGAATTTCTCTTTAAGGTTTCTTGGATTTGTTCGATTTCAGACTCGGTGGTGCCTAACTCTAACTAAAATTGCAGATTCCACCACTCCTCACTGGCATGGAGGGCGGAGCACCAGCGGTGGCCCACCTCCCGGACGAGCTGGTCGTCGAGATCCTCGCGCGGTTGCCGGCCAAGTCGCTCTGTCGCTTCAAGTGCGTCTCCCGGTCCTGGCGCCGCCTCATCTGCGACCCCGCTCACCGCGCCAAGCTCGCGCAGACCCTGTCAGGCTTCTTCGTCTTTCCCCGTGGCCGCAGAGCAGATCCATGTCCGGCGCCCTGCCACTTTGTCGGCTTGTCTCCTCGCGGACGAAATGGTGGTCCACCTCTGGTCGATACCACTCTCTCATTCCTGCCCCCGACCTGTGGGCAGATAGAGTTGCTCGACTCTTGCAACGGGCTCCTCCTCCTGCTCTGCTGGGGCGCTCCACCACTGCCTGTGCATCCGTTCTATGTTGTCTGTAATCCTGCAACCAGGGAGTGGGTTGGCTTGCTTTGCCCCAACCGAGCGAGGCCCCTGGGCAGGATGGTGATACAATGGGAGAGAACAAGTGGACTCGCTCTGCTGCGCTAGGCTTCGATCCGGCCATCTCCTTGAATTTCTATGTTTTTCAGCTACTGGAGACGGAGTACGAGACTGATTATAAAGTTAAGGCCGTGGAGATTTACTCGTCTGAAACTGGAAGATGGAGTCTTAGTGAATGTGGTTGGGACGCGGGTGAATGCCATTTCTTTGATAGCAACATGACCTATACTTTTTCGAACGGAAGCAACATGACCTATATAAATAGTGTCCTACACTTCACTGTCCAAGGTGGGTGCAGTCGCAGCGGTGGAGACCAAGGGACAGGCATGGAGGGTCAACCGTGTGCGCCCGCAATTCCATGAGTGCCATGGCAGTGGCTTCACTGGCCACTCTCAGGGGTGCTTGCTTTACATGTTTGATGACGACAAAGGGGATTTTTTGTCAGTCTATGTTCTTGAGGATAGAGGCAGCGAGGAGTGGACTTTCAAGCACAACATCAGCAAGGCTGGTCTTTTTGGACCAAGAAAGTGGCAGTGGGGGCCATACTACCATGTAGTTGCATTTCATCCTGAAGCTGATTTGATCTTCTTCTATGACTGGCAACGCAATAGACTCATCTCCTATGGTATGACTGATATGGATGTGCATGTTATCGGCACTATTGGAGGAGAGGAATGTTCTATCTGCACTACTTTTGAAATGGAATGCACCGACCACCTATTTTCACTATATATTCCACTGTACTCAAGGATATTGGTATCACCAATTGTTAACTAGCAGTGCTTCACAATCTCTACTGCATACTTCATATCTGCACCTCTATAATTTCTGGTTTTGAAAAGATTGATACTGTAAAGTAATCTGCTGCCTCCCTCTGTTCGTGCGGCGGGGCAGGCGCCGAAAGGGCTCCCCTGTCGCTGCACTGTAGCCGCTGCAGGGGCAGACGCCGAAAGGCTCCCCTGCCGCACTGTAGCCACAGCAGGGGTGGGTGTCAAAGTCAGCCCTGCTGTCACATCTAGTCACTGTAGCAGCCTGACAGCCTGACATGTCTGTGTACTAGGATTAGATGGGTAGAGTTGTATATATAGGTGCCGTTCGCTGGTCTGGTTTCCAGACCAGCCGGCTGGTTCCTCCTCACAGCGGCACTATTCATCAACCATCCGCTACAATATTTCTCTCACACACAACCAGCCGCTACAATGTTTTGGCTTCTTTTTTCAGACAAGCGAACGGGGCCATAGTTTTCCACTGCAACTCAGTAAAGAGAGCGAGTTCAGTTTTGCCATCTCGTCTGCAGAGCTCTGGCTAACGCTAGTGCTTGTGCTGTGGGTGTGCGCTCTGTTCTCCATCCCTTCTTCTACATCCAGCCGTAGTGTGTGGTCGGGAACGACAGTGAGCGGTCGGCTCACCTGTGCGGGATATCTTGGGACCAACAAGTGGTATTGGAGCCGTACAAGCGCCGTCGTCGGACTAACCGTTGGCGATGACGAACGGTTTAGAGATGGGCGACAGCAGCGTACCCAGCCACGATAGGAGGTCGTCGTGCGTACGGTGCGGGAGGTCCGCGGCACCAGTTGGCCGACACTGACTCGCACCAACTATGGCGAGTGGGTGGTGACCATGAAGGTCAAGCTTAGAGCCCGACGGCTCTGCAATGATATTGACAAGGGCACCGACAACGAAGAAGACGACATGCTAGCGTTGGAGGCTATCCTCGCTGCTGTGCCAACGGAGTACAGGGAGCCGTTGGGGGCGAAGAACTCTGCTACGAAGACGTGGGAGGCCATTGCAGCGATGCGCGTCGGCTCCGACCGCGCAAAGAAGGCGATAGCCCTGCTGCTGATGCAGGAGTACGCCACCCTCAAGTTCAAGGATGGTGAGTCGGTGGACTTCTCCCTCCGCCTGCAATCACTCATCAGCAAGCTGAGGAGCCACGGCGTCACCATCGACGAAGAAGAGGCGGTCTCCAAGTACCTCCACTACGTGCCGGTGAATTACATCCAGATCGCTCTCTCCATAGCGACGATGCTGGACTTGTCCATCCTCACCATTGAGGATGTGACAGGCCATCTGCGGGTGGTGGACAAGCACATGGAGCAGGTCACAACAACGACGGATAGCGGCAAGCTGATGCTGACAGAGGAGGAGTGGGCTGTCCGGATGAAAGAGAAGAAGTCCGGGGAAGTCCCCTCCAGCCGCGATGGCGATGGCATGCGCCGCGGCAAGGCTTCTTCGGAAAAGAAGAAGAAGATGGTCGACCCCAACGCCTGCCGACACTGCGGAAAGACAGGTCATTGGGCAAAGGAGTGCCCAAATTGCAAGCAGGAGAAGAAGGCTGAGGCTCATTTAGCGCAGGCTGATGAGGATGATGAGGCCACTCTCCTGATAGCGACGTTTTATGCACTGCACGACGTTGAGGCCAAGGAGAAGGGAGAGGTGATGGCGGTGGAAGGGCATGGCAAGGCTCTGAAGGCTATCAACCTCGACGAACCGCGTGCCCAAGTCCACCTCGGACGTGTGGGCGGCGAGCAGGAGCAGCGGTGGTACCTGGACTCCGGCGCCAGCAACCACATGATGGGCTCCAAGGAATCCTTCTCCGAGCTCGACAGCAACGTGACCGGCACGGTGAAGTTCGGTGACGGCTCAAGGGTGGCGATCTGAGGGCGTGACACCATCATCTTCAAGTGCCAGGACGGCCAGTACCGCGCGCTGACAGATGTATATTACATCCCGTAGCTGCGTTCAAGCATCATCAGCATTGTCCAGCTGGATGAGCATGACAACGAGGTACTGATCAAGGACGGCGTCCTCAGGATCAGGGACAGGGAGCAGCAGCTTCTTGCCAAGGTGAAGAGGTCCTAGAACCGGTTGTACCTGCTCGACTTGAAGGTGGAGCAGCCAGTGTGCCTGGCAGCATGGCACACCAAGGAGCCGTGGTTGTGGCACACCCGGTTCGGCCATCTCAGCTTCGACGCGCTCGGTCGGCTGGAGAAGATGGTCCGAGGGCTGCCCCACATCAATCACACAGGTGAGCTGTGTGACAGCTGCTTGACCGGGAAGCAGAGGAGGCTGCCGTTCCCAAAGGCGGCCAAGTATCGCGCGGCGGGCGCTCTCGAGCTCGTCCACAACGATCTCTGTGGCCCAATCACGCCAGCCACAAATGGTGGTCGGCGGTACTTCCTCCTGCTCGTGGATGATTGCAGTCGCTATATGTGGCTGCAACTCCTGACGAGCAAGGACGAGGCGGCGGAGGTGATAAAGAAGTTCAAGGCGCGCGTGGAGTCGGAGAGCGGCAAGAAGCTGCGCATGATGTGGACTGATCGTGACGGTGAATTTACTTAGGTGGAGTTCGCTGCGTACTGCGCGGATCAGGGTGTGGTGCGACACCACACCGCACCGTACTCACGACAACAAAATGGCGTGGTGGAGTGACAGAACCAGATGGTGGTTGGCATGGCTCGATCCATGATGAAGGCCAAAATCATGCCGACAAGGTTCTAGGGTGAGGCGGTGACCATGGCGGTGTTCATCCTCAACCGCATGCCAACAAAGGCCTTGAAGGGTGTGATGCCGTTCGAAGCTTGGTATGGGCGCAAGCCGAGCGTGTCCTTCCTCTGGACATTCGGCTGCATCGGCCACGTCAAGAAGATGAAGCCGGTCCTCACCAAGCTAGAGGATAGGAGCACACCAATGGTGCTCTTGGGCTACGAGGAAGGTGCCAAGGCATACTAGCTCTACGACCCACGCGGAGGCAAGGTGGTTGTCTCACGTGACGTCGTGGTCGACGAGAAGGTGGCCTAGGACTGGGACAGTCCGGGCACGGGGGAAGCTGGCGGCTTCACCAGCACCTTCGTCGTCGAGCACTTGGTCATCCACGGTGGTGGAGACGCTGGAGAGGAGGTGCCGACCACTCCAGCAACAGAGCTGAGCACTCCTGGGGTGGTACCGAGCACTCCGGGAGGGGTGCCGAGCACTACAGAAGTGGTGCCGAGCGGTCCTACAGTGGTGCTGACCACTCCAGGACTAGTGCCGAACGCTCCCGTAGTGGAGCCAAGAGGTCTTGTAGTGATGCCAACCACTCCAAGACTGGTGCCGAGCACTCCTACAATGGTGCCGACCACTCCAGGAGTGGTGATGGGTGGTCCAGGAGTAGTGCCGAGCACTGTAGCCAAGGTGCTGAGCACTCCAGGTGTTGTGCCGACCACTCCGGTGGAACAGGGGACTCCATCAACATCGATCGAGTTCACCTCACCTCCAAGCGACATCACCGAGTTCATGGATGCCTTCCACGACGGTGAGGAGGTGTGGTTCCGCAGGCTGGACTACATCGTCGGCGTCACAGGGTCCTCAGGCCTGGTGGGTCGGCTGCTCAATGACCCAGAGCTGCTTCTCGTCAGTGTAGAGGAACCACCCACGTTCGCACTGGCCGAGCGTGAAAGCATCTAGGCCCCTAGTTGGGTTTCGGTGATTAATGACAATACGTGATTACTATGACTAACGTGTGTTTTGCAGAGGCAATTAAGTTAGGTCATGGTAATGGAGATCGATTGGGCTATCATGGTGGTCATGCCCCTACGATGGAAATCATTTCAGTTTTTAAAGGATGGATGACAAGGTTAAGGATGGACTAGTTCTAAGTGTCGATTGGAGTTGAAGAGACACTTAGAGTAGTTTAGAACTTTATTTTTCCTTTGGCCATACTATTAAGGGGGGTATGGATGGGTAGCTTGACCTAGGTGAGTCTAGTGGGTTTGGTGTGGTGCACACTTGCTAAATCTAGCACTAGTGGGTTGATGCTATTATGAGGAGGACCCTGCTTCACAGAGCTTTTTGGCGAGGGGTCGAGCAGGACACCCAGTGATCTCACTTCTACAGCTAGAGTGCTTGATGCTATTATGAGGAGGACCCTGCTTCCGAGGATGGGGTATCGCGAGGGCTTGACTCATATACAGTTATGGCTACTAAACTCTCTGATGCAGCAGACTGTGTTTGATATTTGGGATCTCCTTCTATCAGAGATGGAGGATACTATTGCAGAGGGGTTCAGGGGTCACAGGCAGCTGCCATATGCTCACTGGACTACATTCTTGATCCACAGGGCAGTTACTGTGAGGCCACCTGAGATGCTGACAGAGTATAGTGGTGCTACTACAGAGTTCTCTGCCTACAACATGACTCAGATGATCCGTCATAGTGCAGTGAGGACACCTAGCCAGCCGCATCGTCGTCCAGAGGTGCCAGAGACTGCAGCCCAGCAGGATAAGACCATTAGGGGTATAGCAGCTACAGAGGAGGAGGAGCTTGATGCTCAGTAGGAGGGGATGGTTGAGAGCGACCCCCAGCGACAGCTCAGATGATGACTACCGGAATATTCCTCAGATGACTCCTTGACGACATGACCATGAGACCGGTAGCTCCAGTTCAGCTCCACCTGCACCGCAGACAGACCCCGCTCTACTTGCTATACTTGAGCGGATGAGGCGGGATCAGGCTCGCCAGGCTCAGGAGACCGCTGCTACATTTGCACAGTTTCAGACTCGGCAGGCTGAGTTCCAGCGACAGCAGCAGGCAATCCAGCAACAGCAGTAGGCTATACAGCAGCAACAGCAGGCCATGCATCAGCAACAACTTCTCATGCAGCAGCAGCAGCTACTTGGATTTATGCAGTATGTAGTCACTGCTATTGGGGCTCCACCGCCATAGCCTTCACCCCAGCTTGGTCAGCCTGCCACCACTTCTATGACTCCAGCTTTACAGCCTAGTGGGTTTCAGAGTCA